CACAGACAGAGAGAGAGAGAGAGAGAGAGAGAGAGAGAGAGAGGTAGGTTTCTTTCTCCCTCACAATCTGGACACAGTAAAGAACTTTATGAACATGCTATCAACCTCAAAGCTGTAAGTGGCAGGACCAAGAGGGACTGGCACACAATACTAGCTTGGTGTTGCTTTCCTGCCTCCCTCCCTCTCCTCTTCCTCCTCTTCTTGAAACATGGTTTCACCACACAGCCTGTCCTGGAATTCGATATGTGACAAGGCTGTCCATCTGCCTCCGCCTCCCAAGTGTGAAGATTAAAGGTGTGCTACCACACCTGGTATGATTCTTTCTCTCTGTCCCTAAGACTTACATTTATTTATTTGTTCTTTATTTAGTGTGTGTGTGTGTGTGTGTGTGTGTGTGTGTGTGTGTGTGTAAGGATCTATCGTGATTGTATGGGTATCTGTGGAGGCCAGAAGAGAACACATCCCCTGGAGTTATAGGAGCTGCCTGACATGGGGGCTGGGAACTGAACTCTGGTATCTCTTAACCCCTGAGCCGCCTTTTCAGCTAGTTTTTTTTTTTTTTTTTTTTTTTTTTTTTTTTTTTTTTTTTTAATTTATTATTCTGAGGACTGGGTGTCGTTCAAAGCCATGGCCAGCCTTGAACTCACCACTCTCCTGCCTCACCCTCCTGGGTCCTACAAAAGCTTCATGTGATTAAGTAAAAAACAAACCCCACTAACAGCAAAAGGGAAACAACACAACAGAGACATGCAGAGCACTCTGCTTTCCTACTTGGAGAAGCTATGGCTAATTCAAACATGGAGACTGGGCATGCAACAGCTCACGGGATGCTCAGGGCAGGTGGATGGTAGTCACACTTAGTGTCCAGCCTATCTCCAGAGCCAAGGGAATGAACTACCTGTGACGTCATCAGGAAAGCTGGCAGCTACCACCCAAGGGTAAGCCATGGCACAGGAGGGCCAGCTGAGCCACCCTGGACAAGCTGAAGAGCAACACTGACCCACCATGCTGAGGCTGGCCTACTCTGGCCCTTGACTGGTCCCCCTGTACCCACCCACCAGAGGTGTCTCTGGGCCTGCTGTCTCTCTCTCAGCAGAGCTAATGGAGCCTCAGGAGTACAGAAGGGGTATGGGTGTGGCAGCACTGGAAGAGCCTGTTTGCACTAAGTGTCCAACTGTTTTCTGGAGATGGGAATAGGTCCTGCTGCTGCCAGAAGCCTCTCAACTCTGGGACCCAGAAGTGTGTGTATGGGGGGGAGGGAGAGGCCAGGACACACCCCCATCTGGAGACAGGCTTGTTAGCACTGGGCACACGGTGGGACAAATGTGGCTACTGGCTGCAAGCATCAACCAGTCCAGGGGCAGGACAGTACCTCTTCCCGATGCTTGTCCCAGGGTCAGCACTGCTCCTGCTGGCTGCTCTTTTCCTCCGTGACAGCTTCTTGGTGCTGGCTTGCTCTGGGGGCTGTGAGTCCTCCCTGGGTGGGCTACTCCCACCCTTGCTGTTAAGGTCCCGAAGCACACTGTAGTTGATCTTGCTGGAGATTTTCTTCTGTTCCAGCATCTTCTCGATAGCCTCCCCAGCGGTGCTGGCCAGGATTGGCTCCCGGCGTTTGCAAGACTTCTTAGGCTGAATGAAACACACAAAGAACTTCCTTCTATCACATGCTGGCTTCACACCTGCCATCTACTCCTGAGCCCCAGCTGTGGTCCATCTGGAGGGCACAGGAATTTGGCCTGGATCTACCTTGGCAGTTCCCGGCCCTGGCACTGGCTACCTCAGCTCCTGCATATCTACCCTTCCTAGCAAAGCCTTTCTTGTGCGGAGAAAAGGTAACTGCCTCACAGAACATGGAACATGATGTCTGGTGGCCTGGAGTTTTGGGACCCACACTTCTCTACCTGAGTCTGTAGGCCTTCTTTGAGGCAGGGACCATTCATTCTCTGAGCCTCCACCCTGGACCCCAAGTTTTGCCAGCATCACATTTTCTCACTTGGCACCGGAAAAGTTCAGCTCCTTCAAGCCCCAGAGGGAACAGCTGAGCCAATTTACCAAGACTCTTGCCTGTTATCAAGAATGCAGGCACAGAGACAGAGTGTTCAGCCCTACGTCTCAATTCGGCGTGCCTTAGCACCCGTGCTGCATAGATATCCCACTGCACAGCTTAACGGCACAACCACCTCTGGTGGAGCAGGCAACCAACACAACAACCTGGCAGCCAGGGACTGGGTCCTATGGCTTCCACTGCCTGTCCAAGTCAGGCTCCTAAGGACACAGGGGCAAGGTGTTCCCAAAATGGTTTTCTCCCGTCAGCCCACACTGTGGCCGAGTTAGGCTGCCAAGAGGCACCCACCTTGTGCTCCTTATAGATCCCCAGCTCCTTCTCCTTTGCTATTCTTGCTTCTTTCTCTGTAAGGGGAACAAAGCAGGTGACCTCAGCAAGGGACACATCCCGGGACCCGGGCAGACGAGTGGTGGGTACTTACCCTTCTGCTCCCGAAGGTACTCAGCATTCTCCCGCATCCACAACTCGGCTTTTACCCGGGCTTCTGACTCGTTCAGGATGTACTGTGGGAGGCACAGTGAGGTGGCTTCAGATCTTTGAGGGTGAGCTCTGTGGTATGCCAAGATCTCTCAGCAACTAGCTTCCTATCTATATGCTTACACTGCTAAAGAAAAGATGTGGGAAGGCCTCCCTTCAACAGAGAAACCGGTCAGTCCTTTGTCCTCCTCCACTGACTTTACCCTGCAGCTGTGAGCCAGTGTTCAGTTCCTAGGCCTTGTTAGGCAGACCTCTAAGACACATAGCCAAGTGTTAGTGTATAGTCTGGGGCCCCTGGTATTTGAGGATTAGAGATGTACAGTATATTTGGGATGCAATGGGAGCCAAGGCCAGGTGCAGAGTTCAGGGCCTTCCCACCATGGTCCTGGTAGGGTTGTTTGGGGTTTCAGAGGAAGGGCACATGACAGCCAAGGCTGCCTTGGAATGCAGCGTGGAGGAGGGAGTCCAGGGGGCATGTCTGAACCACAGGCACTACAACTTGAGACTACCCACCTGTCAGGGAATGTCTGAGACAGCCACAGGCTCAAAGTGGCTAACGGTGAGTGACAGACTCTGGAGCTAGTTCAACTCCACTTTAGCCTCCATAAGTCCCAACCACCACTGGGGACAAAGGGTCAGGACTTACTCTGTCGATCTCAAGGTCGTCGATGCCACTGAGATCCAGCTCCCCGTCCCCTGAAGTGTCTTCTAGAGAGAAGAACCCTATCAGTGTCACAGCGGCTGCCCTGGCAGATCCTGCTCACCATGGGGATGCGTGGAACCCAGGGCTGGGACAAAGGGGCTGCCAGAACCTTCTTTGAGAGAATGTCACCTTAACACTTGCCCATCAAGGAAGAAAACAGGCACAGAGAACATCTCTTGTGTCCTCAACAGAAAACCTAAGCTCAGGTCAAGGACTAGGTTAAGAGCTGCTAGGCCTGGTCTGGGCACGCTGCTACCCTAGTCCAGGCTACAAGCCCTGGAGGTGGGTCTAAGGTAGAGTCCAGCAGTGCAGGCCACTGGGATCTCCCACCAGCATCTCACACTCTAGATGCTAGGCAACCCCTTCACCACCCCACCCAATGGCCCATGTAAGGCTTGTCAGCTGGTGCACACAGCTGGGACAGTTGGGGTGTCTTCTCTCCAGCTTCAGGCTGAGGTCCTGGGGTGACTCATTACTGTTGAGACCATCCCTCGAGACTCTGCAGTCTGCCCCACTGCCCTTGTTCTCTGCTCTGGGCTGCTTATGCTTGGGCTCACAAGTCCCTTGGCATTGTTCTGAATCACCAGCCCCCTCAAAGCACTCAACCGCCCTCTACATACTTGGCCCACAGGTGAACCATCTCCCTCCTCAGCTGGGAGGTCTACCCCTTCTACAGGCCCCATTTCTCAATTGTTCGACCCATCTGAGAGGCCCCACCCTCTAGCAAAGATCCACTCTTCACCTGGCCAGGAGAGAAGAACCAGATTATAGGGATGGGACTGGGTACCCTACCACAGCCACTGGTGTCCCCCAGCCCTTCTTCATAACTATTTATTACAATTTATTTTGTGTGTCTAGATGTTTTGCCTGCAGGGATGCCTGTGTACCACATGTATACAGTTCTTCCAAAAGCCAAAAGAGGGCATCAGATCCCCCTGGGACTAGAGCCACCATGTGGGTAGTGGGAATCAGACCCGATCCTTTGAAAGGGCAAGTCAGTGCTCTCAACCTTTCTCCCAATGTTTTACAGGTAAAGGGCAAGGAGCCATAGGGATCTGGTACTGTTGATGGCGGGGGCAATGGTTGGTTAGTGTGTTTCTCCTCTGTCCATGCTCAAGCTCAAGCTCAGCAGGCAACACTGACCAATGGTGAAAAAGTCAGGAATGACCCAGTCCCCTGTCCCCACCCCCCTCTCGACCTGTATGACTTCAGTCTATGCCAGACCCTCTCTTAGTCATTTGGTAGCCACTGAAACTCAGGACCCGTGCCATAAGCCGGCCAGCCAAAGCAGCTAGACTATAGGGAGCTTATGGTAACAAGGCCAGCTGGCGTCTCGGTGTGTTGGCACACACCCAGCTCTGTAGCCCATGCGATGGTTAATTTAGATGTCAACTTGTCACAATGTAGAGTCACCTGGGAAGAGGGTCTCAACTGGATAAACATCTCTATCAGGTTTTCCTGTAGGCAAGTCTGTGAGGATCATCTTGACTGCTAACTGATGTAGAAAGGCCCAGCCATTGTTGTGGCCTTAGGACTCCCTACATAGGGAGTCCTAAGACAGGTAAGACCCGAGAAAGCTCGATAGGACGGTGCAAGCAGGCAACAACGTTTGTTTCTTTCTGCTACTGACTATGGATGCGATGTGATTAGCTGTTTGGGTTCCTGCCTTGACTTCCCTGAAATGAAGGACGGTAACCTGAAATTGTAAGCCAGAGCTGTTCCCCACAGTTGCTTTTGACAGGATATTTATCACAGCCAGATAAATGAAACAAACTACAGTACCCAGGGACCGCTGACTATTGTGAGGGACCTCATAGTGCCTCATCCAAGCCCAAGGTATTTCTGGTCTAATCCGCAGCAGGGACCATTCAGACTGTAACCTTTCCCATCCCATGGCACTCACTGGGGTCCCCACTTGGGGAGGAGATGCACTCCCGGATGGAGTCGGAGATGCCCAGGCTGGCTGCTGTGGGCAAGGGGCCAAGTAAAGACTCCAGGGCAAGGGGCCTGCTGCCCCCATCAGGGTCTCCCGTTCCTTCGGAGCCGCCACCATCCCCCAGGAGCTCCCGGTAAAAGTCCTTGTTCATGTGGCTGGCAGCAGCCTCCAGCTCTTCATCCTCTGTGTCCTCCTCACAGAACGGGCTGGGTGTGGAGTCCTCACCGGAGCCTAGGGACACACGATTCGCACACCACCTGTCAACCAGGCAGAAAGCCAAAAAGAGCCCACTTTTGTAACAGATACATCTTTTGCGAAGCTGCAAAATAACCGAGAACACAAAAAACTACCAAAAAGCATGCCTTTTTCTGCAGCAGAGAAAGCACGGTCCTGCCAGCAGACGGTGTTGCTTGCCCACGTGCAAGAATAGCCTGGCTTATTCCTCATGTTCTGTGCAAAAGCTGGCTTAAATGTGGCATCTGAGAGCGTAAGAACAGTCAGGAAAGATAAATAAAGTTTGTGCCCTAGAGTTAGCAAAAACACCTTCAACAACACTAAATCAGAACCCATAAAACATAGATAAATAGAATGCTTTGAAAAAAAAAAAGAATTATAATGTCTGCCCTGTGAAAGACACTGTCAAGACAACGGTGAGCCATAGCTTCCTTTAAGATCATGTCAGAAAGGACGTTCTACAACATGTAAAGAGCGACTATGCTCAGAAAACACAGAACCCAAATAAAAAAGGGACCTAAAGAAAGACCTGCCAGACTAGGGCAGAACAGCAAGAGAGGGCACAGAGGTGGACCCCTGAGAGACACTCCAGAGGGATCAAGTCAGAGCATGAGCTGTCCTCTATGGTTTCAGACTGCTGAGACTTCACCCCACACACACTGGTGACCTTGTCAGAGAGGATGAAGAGAAGATAGAGGCATTGGTCTCATGCATGCTGACAGTGGTGGCTGCTATGCAAACTGTTTGCCTACACCACCTCCACCAGACCCAGCAATTCTGCTCTGCCCAATACAAAAGAAATGCTTATCGACAGAGACTGCACAAAGCTTACCTGGAACCAACCCAAATGTACTCAACAGGAGTGGTAAGCACTTCACCACACTTAAGGGAGCTACATGAGAAAAAGGACCATGCTACCAATGGGCAACACAAAAATAACACTGAGGAAAGACAAGGGTATGTCTACAGAAGACTTCTTTGCATAAGTCTAGAAAAGACCACTAACCCAGGGACAGAAAGCAGCCAGTGGCAGCTTGAAGTGGGGGAAGGGTGGGGTACCATTGCAAAGGACAAAAAGACAGTGGCAGTTGACAGGTCTAGAATCACAGTGACCGTAGGGCTGCCTTCTCCCTACACCACGCATGTTCACAGGCAAAGCGGTGGTAAAGCCAAACACAGCCTGTAGCGTGTGCGTTATACCTTCTGATATTTGTTCTTAAAGACACAGCTGCATAATCTGACCCACAGTACCCTGCCTGTGACTACTTGTTTTCTGTTGTGCTCCAAAGCCAGGATGTGTGAAAGAGGAACAGATAAAGTTCAATAAAAAGGAATAAAAAAATTACGCAGAGAACATTAGAACAGACAGCTAAGACCAAGCACACTCTACCAAAAGGCCTATTGAGCAGATCGGCCTACCTCAAACCACTGAGGGAAAAGGGTGCTCCAGATTGAATCATACCACCAAACACTGGAGAAGTTCTCCAGGTAGCATAGAGTGAAAGAGGGGGTCAGGCAGAGACTTAGTGGCACCTGGGTCTATGTGTGCCCCAAGTTCAGGCCTCTAGGCTTGAGGGTGGCTAAGTACCTCTGGTAGCAGACAGGCCTTGAGAATGGCACCAGCCATCACTCCGAATGAGGGAGCCACTGGGGGAAATCAGAGTGAGGGGAGGACCAGAGCGCTGGAGCAGAGCCACCATGTGGAAGGTCCTCAATTCTACCAGTAGTGAAAGTGGGACATGACACAAGGTGCCTCTCTGCAGTGTCTATGGATACTGCGTGCCCAACAAATACCAAGGAGGAACGTATGAGCAACACGCCATGATTACTGCAAACACAAGTAGCAGTTAGTAACCACATCAGGACACACCTTACCCCCAGAATTTCCACAGCTCCCTCACATGTGGAAGAGAGGAAATATCTTGAGACTAAGAAACTGCAAACATGACAATCCTCACAGGAAGTTGAGAGCCCCCAATGCACACAGTCAGCAGACTCACAACAGACAAGTCAGGCAGGTGACCTGGGAGATGGAGTAAAAGTAGAAGGGAGGGTGAAGCCGGGCAGAGGTAACTGACCTAGAAAACAGAAGGCAGCAGACTACATATGTGCAAAGGACGGGTTGAAAATAACTTACACATAACTTTAGAACAGATCACAAAGAAAACCACTACACAGAGAAATCAAAAGTAGCAAACTCAACTCTGCAAACAGACAGAACCAAAGCCTTGGATGAGTATGAATAGAGCAGCCACTGAGATCCAAATGTTGCCTCCCAGGAACTAGGGAGAACCCAATGGTGTGATTGTCAGGACACGGGATCACATTCGCCTATTGTGGGAACTCCTGTGGTCTCCACAGATACTGTAATCCTCTGAAACGCTCATTTGCATTGAGACAGAAAGAACTCCGGATGACAGTGGGTAGGCATTCACTCACCATGACAGGTAAGTGGGCAACCTGCTCAGTGCATGCAGTCCACACTGCTGTCACATCAGCAGGATGCTGCAGGGCCAGGCAGACTCAAGAAAGAAATTAAGTGCTGCTAGAGAACAGCAGTAGTATCACTTTGTGTAGATGACAGAATCAAGAACTCGGAAAACCCAATGACAAAATGACTGAAAATGGTATGAGCAGCAAGAGAATTCACAGTGCACAGGAGTAGTCAGCACACACAAGCCAATGCTACTGTCAAGCTGCAAGTTGCCATGGAGACCAAACAGCCACACAGAAGGCAGTAGTGTGGTGCTATCCCAGACATTCCAGGAGCAAAGGCCAGACAGAAAAGAAGTTAGAGCAGGACAGAAAGACAAGCTCGGCAGTTTCCCCCATGCTGGCAAGTGAGGCAGACTGTAGGTAGAGAAGGGGTGGACAAGTGTCTGCAAACACTGAGGGGAAGCACAAAGGACGTCAGCACAGTGCCGGCCGGCATGTGAGGGATGCTCAGAGTAGCTTCTCTAGACCATGTGTCAAGGAAGGAAGCAGACACTTTTGCCTTCACTCTGCACAGCCCAGAGAGAGTGAACTTTCGGCACAAATGGTTACAGCATCTCTGAAAGTCCGCGTGGGGATGCATAGGTCAACTGGCCAGCAGCGCTCCCCCGTATAGCACATGAGGGCTGTGGACAGGTGAAGAAGCGTGTCCTGGCAGTAACCGGATATGCAATTTAGTGTTCCAGTGCAGGGAGATAAGCAGACTGGGGTGGGGTCAAGGACCAATGAGTAGGGAAGGTGAGGGTGCTGGCCTGGGGCCCTCAATGGCGGGCAGGGAGGACTCACCATCCTTTGACAAGTTGGCAAGAGCCCCTTTTGCCTTTGGCCGGCTGTTTTCTAGCTCAATTTCAATGGCATCCTGGTAACTGGATATCTCACCTAAAGGGACAGGTTAAAAGCAAAAGATAAGTGTGTTCACTTTCTAACAAAAAGGAAACACTCGTGTGAGAACTGGCTAGTTACCTTCAACTTCTTCTAGCTTTTTTGACAGGACCTGTTCCAGCTGAAAGACAAAGGGGTCCAATTGGTAAGGAGTCCAATGTTCAAAGTCTCACTGTTGACAAGGCTTGGGATGGTCAGAGGGAGCGGCAGGCCTGGCCCTCTCCTTCCAAACATGCATGTAGCCCTGGGCAGAAGCCCTTTCTAAATACCTAAAAACTTAGAACCTCAACAACCCACCCATGCCAATGTGACTGGAAAGGTCAAGTCTGTCCCAAGTGCAGAATGCACCCCTGTAGTCCCCAAAACTCAGCTGCCCTCTCCTGCTGAGTGCAGTCCTAGTAGGAGCACAGTCCCAAGCTCAGTGATAATGGAAGGAAGTCTGGCTGCAGTGGTGGCTGTCTCAGAGGACAAGGCATAAAATGGAAACAGAGCTTGGCTGTGGGGATGGGTTCAAGGGGATAGGGAGAGAAAGCTCACCACGAACCCCAATGTGGGTAGTGCTTGGGGGGTCCACACATGGCACACCCCTAAGACTCATTCTCAAGGCCCACAGAAGACCAGGTTAGCAGCCCGGAGAGTTGAACAGATGTGGGGATGTTAGAGAACAAATGTTCCCAGAAAACTCATGTGCTAACGGACGGTGTGGAGCCACCTGCTTCATACGCAGCTTCCTCTGTCCAGCTGTGTACGAGGGAGGGTCACATTCCTCTTCCAGGTCAATCTTCATAAACTCGTCAATGGTGAGCTGACTGGTTGGAGTGTCTTCGAATTCTGTGAGCCTAAGACAGAAAGGCAGAGAAAAGCCCATGGCACCCTTACTACTTCCACGTGCCTACCCTGGGGTCCTGTGGAAGAGCTTCGGGAGGCCCTGCAAGGAAGGAGGCCTTCCTTTACCCAACTAGCAACTTGATCAGGGCACTTCTGGGACAGCTAACACAATTTAAATCTTAGCAACTTTTCTGCATTTTCTTAAAACTAAGAAAATTTAGCTCCTTTACATGGGGAGGGTGCTCGTGTACACAAGCATGCACACAAACCACAACACGCAAGTGGAGGCCAGAGGACAACTTGTAGGCTCAGTTCTCTCCTTCTGCCATGTGGGTCCTGAGGACTGAACTCAGGCTGTCAGCCCTGGCAACAAAGGCAAGTGCCTTGACCTGCTGGGCCATCTTGATGGCCTCACCCTCACAAGCACTGTGACTATGAGCACATACTGTTGGCTAACATTTGGTTACGCTGTGTTTTGTTTCTTTTTAAGAGTGAGTCTCACGTAGTCCAGCCTGGCTTTGAGGCTGCTATGTAGTTGAGGATGACTCTGAGTTTTGTTTAAGAGTGAGTCTCATGTAGCCCAGGCTGGGTTTGCAGTTGCTGTATAGCTGAGGATAACCTGAACTCTTGATCCTTCTGCCTTGAGGTGCCTAGAGCTGGAGTTACAGGAGTGCTTGGCTACATTTTTATTTTTATTCAGTATGAGTACTATTATTCTATTATAATTTTTTTTTGAGACAGGGTTTCGTTTAGTATATAGCCCTGGCTGTCCTGGAACTCACTCTGTAGACCAGGCTGGCCTCAAACTCAGAATTCACCTGCCTCTGCCTCCCAAGAGCTGGGATTAAAAGTATTCGCCAGCTTACAATTTTCTTAACATAATTTTTTATTGATTCTTTGGAAATTTCACATCATAAATCCCAATGCCATTCATGTCCCAGTTCCTCCATATCTGCCCCTATCCCTGGTAGTATCACAACCCCTCCAAAAAAAAAATTCAAACCAAACCAAACTAAACCAACAATAAAACCACTTTGCTCCTCTCTATCTTTCCTGACTCTCCAACACCTCTTCATTCATCTTAGTGGCACTGGGAGCTGTGGTGCGTCATACTTTTGTCCACTGAGGTTTACTTGCAAATGTTCATTGCAATGAGTTGTTGGTCTGGTTCAAGGCCTCTGGCTTCTATATACCATCAATACTGGACTCTCACCAAAATTCCTCTCTGATATCCTGCTGTTGCCCCAAGTCATAGAGATACTGCAACTATGTTTCCATAGGACCAGTCCCCTTCATGCACTCTGGCAGGCCACAGACAGGGTAGATGTCAACTCAAAGCCCTGCTATGGGTCTGGGTGGTAGCTTATTTGGTTAATCTGGGCTGCTGGGACCACCCCCCTTAGGCGAGGGGTGAAGCCAGCTCTTCTGTGCCCATGCCATCAGGGCCAGCTCTCCCACAACCATAGTGAAGAGTGGGACCATCTCTCCCAAGTGTGGGACCAGCTGTCCTGTGAGGGGTGGGGACAGCTCTTCAGCTATAGTGGCCAGCAAAAAGCAGTGCCAGCTTCCCCGGAGTCACTGAAGGGCACACAATTTTTAATAAAAGAGTTAAATAGAAATTTAACATAGCCTGGGAGTAGTGGCACACACCTTTAATCCCGGCACTCAGGAGGTAGAGGCAGGCTGATCTCTGTGAGTTCGAGACCAGCCTGGTCTACAAGAGCTAGTTCCAGGACAGCCTCCAAAGCCACAGAGAAACCCTGTCTTGGAGGGAAAAAAAAAAAAGAAAAAAGAAAAAAGAAAGAAATTTGATATAACAGGATGGATCAGCAAATACGGTGTTAGCTGTCAAGTCTGATGACTCGAGTTTGAGCCCCGGCACCTCCATAGTGGAAGCAGAGACAACCCTGGCAGTCTGTCTCTTCATCTACACATGCATACTTGCACATACACAATACATTTTTTTAAAGTTTATTTATTATGTATATAGTGCTTTGCCTGCATGTATTCCTGCAGGCCAGAAGAGGGCACCAGATCTCATTACACATGGTGGGATCCACCATGTAGTTGCTGGGAATTGAACTCAGGACCTCTGGAAGAGCAGCCAGTGCTTTTAACCTCTGAGCCATCTCTCCAGCCCCCACACTACATTTTTTAAATGTATAAAAAAAAAAAACAAAAAACGGGTGTGGGTGTGGCGGTGCATGCCTTTAATTCCAGCACTTGGGAGGCTGAGGCATGAGGATTATCTGTGAGTTCTAGGTAGGCCAAGAAAGACTACAGAGAGACCCTATCTCAGGAAAAAAAAAAAAAAAAAAAAAAAGGGGTTTTGGAAGAGGGGTTTGTGAGACTGCCTCAACATATGAAAGTACTTTCTGGCAAGGCCCATGACCTGAGTTCAATCCCTAGGAACCTTACCTAGGAAGGAGAGAACTGCCCTCCCCCACGTTGCAGTAGCATATGTGTACCTACTGTGTGCAGTAGCATATGTGTACCCACTGTGTGCATACATACACACAAATAAATATCATTTTTAAGATAGTAGAGGCAAAATACTTAAAAATGGTTTTCTCATTTGCTTCCAGAAGGTACTATAGCAGATACCCTCAGCAGAAAGGGTCAACAATATTGAAACCTGTGATATGTATGTCAGCAATGACAGGTGACCCAGCATTCCTTGGCATATTCATCTTGCCCAGGATATCTGAATGAGCTGGGAGCAACCTGTTGAAAGCTGGGCACAGAGTCTGTGGCCTGTGACAGACATGGTGAGGGTTTAACCAGCTCTAGCAAGAGGTCACTCGGGCTCGCAAAGCCCAGAACGGAACAAACCAAATGGGATGAGGAGGCCTCTGGTCTGTTCCAAAGCCGCTTTTCTGCCTGCCTGCAATCTCTGGGGTGGGAGCCTTTGTAAGTTACAGTCTACTACTCTCAGGAGATGCCAGGGTGGGAAGCCGGCACTGCCAGAAGGCAGGGTAACCCAGGGCAGAAGCAGCTCCAATCCACAGCCGGGCCCAGCAGCCAAGAGTGCTGACCTCTTCCGCAGTGTGGACTCACACACTTTGACCACACTGATGACCTCTTTGACGGTTCTCCGGAAGTCATGCATCCTGGCTGCAACCAAAAGTGCTAGGAAAGAAATGAGATCATCAGCAAACACACAAAAATGAAAGTAAGCAAAACTCTTCCTTGGCTCTGGCTAGTGACAGCTGAATAACTGTGAGTAGGATGTGTCTGCTGTGTCTTCTACAAGGCGGCAGGGTGTGTGCCTGCTCCAGACAGACCTAGGATGCAGATAGTCTACGGCAATGATAGTCCCATTCTTACTTTGGGTCGAAGCTGTACTTCATTCTACTTTTAAACATAAGAGGAAAACAGAAAATTCAAGAATTTCTTATAACCCTCAAAGCATGGGAAGTAACTGAGGAGATGTATGGGAAAGCCCTGGTTATGATGGGTGTTGGGACCCTGGAATGCAGTAAAGCTGGAAAAAGCTGGGGCACAAGGCTGTGTGAATTACAGTGATATGGGCACGGGCCTTAAACCTGCAGTGTAAATGTGGTCAGTCAGGCTTCATATATAAGCTGAGTCTCAGGCAGCATCCCCCTACTGGTGCAGAAAGAACAGGCCCCTGCTGGCCTGGAGCTCTTTCTGAGCAGGGGACTCTTGGTCTAGGCCATAGTCAGCGCCTGAAGGTCCTCACAGGTACAACCAAAACAACTCTGCTGCTGGGCTAGCAAGGACTCAGTGTCTCAGATGAGAGGTCAGATCACTAACCATGCTGAGAGGCAACAATTTGCTGTGAGTAGGACGAGGGCTTCAAATTGTCATTTCATCCTCTGAAGTCCTGTCTCTCATTTCAGAATCTGCAGAGGCCAACAAGGGAGCAAGTGCCAGAGTCCTTAAGCAGTGAAGACCATGAAGATCAGGTAGGTCCTGGGTTCAGGACACAGCTCTTATGTAAGGTGGACTCTGGAACTGTAACCAATGACTCATGGGCTTGACTGCTTTAAGGCTCAAGACAGACGACTAGGGTTCAATTTACCTACTATGCAAGGGTCCCTAAATTTGACAGCTAGAACCCTCCTACATACATGCACACGCTTATCAAGCATCAGGGTAGAAAATGCTACCCAAGTGCTAGACTGATGGCCCACACTGTACCTGCTCCACAGAGGCCAGAGGGGCGACGGCCTGTGTGCATCCAATCCCTCTTCATTCTCTGCAGAAGCCTCAGGGCTGTCATGGACACCTCATGGTTCTTCTCCCCAAATTCCAGGAGATGAGCAAAGCGTGGAATGTACAAGCACGGGTCTGTACAGTAGACACAATACCTTAGTGTGCATGCACATATGTACACAAAGCACTAACCACAGCCTGCGGCTGAGCGACTCGACATGCTTCTCTATGTACACAGGTTCTCTGAGGCCCCCTCCACTGAAGCACAGCCTCTCTGACCCTTAGCTGTGCAGCTGTGTTCACTGAGCAATTCTGGGCATGTATGGCAATAGGGATGGGGGCGGGGGCGGGGGCATAACTTCCACCTTCTCTTGGAGGGTGACGAGAGGTCAGAGAGTTGGGCAGTTGTGGGCTCTTTACACACATCACCCTCTGACTTTCCTGAGTGGCCATGTCAGCTCAACAGCCTGCAAAATGAGCACAGTAGGCACACAGGTGCCTGGCATTCTACTGGGTACTGAAGTTTCTATCAAAAATTTATGGAGCCCATGAATGGGGCCAACAAGAACACCCAAGTCACTTGATGAATTCAGCTCATTATCACTATGCCATCAGTGCAAGGACACTACCTAGAGACACAGGAGATCTTGGAACTTGTCCAGGAAGAGCCACTTATGCTCAGAGAACACTAGCAGATAATACTGGAGGAGGACCAGGGTGGCTCACATAGAGACTCAGAGAAGAACGCCGGGCACACTGGTTTATACCTGCAACCCAAGCTATTTGGGAGACCATATGGGGAGGACATTTAGGTCACCCTAAACAACAGAGAGAACCCATCTCTTAAAAAGAAGAAAAACAACAGAAGGACCTAGGGAGGGTTTAAGAGGGCAGTGAAGACGGAGGCCCTAAAGCAGCCTGAAACACAGGGACTGGATAAATCCAAGTCACATCCCATAGTAACCACCTGGCTATATTGGGTACCAGTGAGCCTCGGTTGTGCTAAATTGTCGAGAACCCTAGCAGTCATCTGTAGGGAGACACCCTAGCCCCGCCCAATAGTCCTGGGACAGGTGTCAGGTGGACCTGGGACTCGCCCATAAGAGCGTGGAGAAGGAAAGCCGGGGTGATATAAGGGAAGCTTCTTAAGGGCTGCACGTGGAGACCATAGCCCCTTCTTTCTGGTCAAGCTAGCTGGGTTCTGGTGACCTTGCTCTGGCCTGTGTTTTGCCCTGGTGCTTTCTTGAATAAAGAAATCTTACCATTACGGACTATAGCTCATCTCTGTGCGCACGTGGTAATCATAAGAGTTGGCGCCCAGACCCCACTACCTGAGAGGAGCCCACTGGGGCTCCGAGGCGACCGCTACAGCCAGGAAAGGCAGCCATACAGTAAATTTAAAGCTATCTCTCAAATAACTCTATGTCTCTTCATTTCCTAGTCCCTATTCAATTATATCGATGCTGGATTTAGAGTTGGATTTGGCTTTCCTACTCTAAAATCCAAGCATATTATTTAACAACATTTTAAAGTTTCTGTGTTTTATCAAGAAGCCAATTGCTGTAATACAGAATAAATAAAGAATAAGAGGATTATCTTTGTCTTTTCTTGGCTCTTTATTTCAAGGCCTACACCCTCTCATAATTGTTGTTCTTCAAGGTTTGCCTTTCCCAGTACACATACATGAACAAGCGAACATTTCTCTGATGACACTTATGTTTCAGTCCCATACAGCCAATGAGAACCAGCCTGACAACAATCCCTGCATGCTCCGGAAAAAGAATTGGACTATACCTCCCCGACTGCACTGGATTCAACTCACTCCATTTTGACTGACACTCCAACCAGAACCTCGAGTAATGATTTTAATCAAGTTGAGGATTTCAACGTAGATCTTCAATCAAACAAATCTCATCTAACATGGACTAGACATAACTCATTAGAGACTTTCCCTGTACTAGCATTTTTTTCCACAGGGCCCCCACATGACTACCATCGTCCCATTTCAGCAGGAAGTAACCTAGAAGATGCTACGCCCCTGTTCCCCATTATTGTTTATTAGGGTAGTGTAAGCCTAGTTAAGAATGACCTTCTTATTGTTTAGAGTTGGGATTGGAAGAAGGTGTTCAAGTTAGACACCTTTTCCACATGACTTTAAGACTTAGCTGGAATAGACATAGGATGTGCCATAGCAGATTATTGTATCTTCTTGTATTTCACCTTTATGATTGTTAGTTTTGTATGTTTTACACTATTAAGTTTTAATCCTCTTTTAGACTAAAAGGGGAATTGTAGGGAGACACCCTAGCCCCGCCCAATAGTCCTGGGACAGGTGCCAGGTGGACCCGGGACTCACCCATAAGGGCTTGGTAAAGGAAAGCCAGGGTGACATAAGGGAAGCTTCTTAAGGGCTGCACGTGGAGCCCCTAGCCCCTTCTTTCTGGCCGCGCTAGCTGGGTTCCGGTGACCTCGCTCTGGCCTGTGTTTTGCCCTAGTGCTTTCTTGAATAAAGAAATCTTACCATTACGGACTATAGCTCATCTCTGTGTGCACACGGTAATCATAAGAATCATCTTTAGTAAAAATTCAACAGCCTTAAGCCCCCAAAGGTTTCCTTGGTTTGTTGAGACAGAATTTCTCTGTGTAACCCTGGCTGTCCTGAAACTCACTGTAGACTAAGCTAGCCTTGAACTCAAGAGATCTGCCTGCCTCTGCATCCCGAGTGCAGGGATTATAAGCATGCACCTGGCTATACAAGAAAAAAAAAAAATTAAGTTACACATACATATTTAATTGTTATGTTCCAGGCCTTGAGCAATGAATAGACTTGATTTTTAAAAATGTCCTCAGGTCAGGAATGATGGTACACATCTTTAATCCCAGCACTCAGAAAGCAGAGGCAGGTGGATTTCTATGAGTTTCAGGCCAACTTGATCTACAGAATAAGAGTCTGTTTCAACACCCCTGACCCCCCACCCCACCACTCGCCTTCCCTAAATAAAAAGGCTAGTATGCACGGCAACAAATGCCTATAATCCAAGCTGCTATATAAACTGCAGTACAAGGACGGAGAGTTGAAGCCTGCCTGGGAAACATAGCAAGACCCTGTCTCTAAATCAACAGTGAAACGAGGGGACTGGGGATAGAAAAACTTCTAGGCTGCCTGCCGTCAGTTCCCTGAATGCAAGTGCAGGCCTGTGGGTAACAGGCAGGGCTCCAGACAAGATAAAGGAGTAGAGTCTGTGTGCATAGGGGACAGAGCTGGAGTCTTGTACAGCAAGGATGGGAACTTTTAACAAAGTTCTCTCAAATCTGACATCAGTCAGGAAAAAGGATTAAGGTGGGATTTGTACCACAAGATTGCATTTATTAAATAGACTTTAAATTTTCTGCCTAACAAAGTAATCCTTTTGCAGAATCTGTGGAACAGTTATGAAAATGGCATGTGCACTAAATAACAAAGAAACCAAGACAGGCTTGATGACGCACACCTTTAATCCCAGCACTCGGGAGGCAGAGGCAGGTGGATCTCTAGGAGTACCGAGGCCAGCCTGGTCTACAGAGTCAGTTTCTGGACAGCCAGGCCTGCATAGCTGAAACTTTGTCTCAGAAAGCAAACAGATAGGTGAATAAAAAGACACAAGGGTGTAAGGACAGTCTCTTCAGCAAACAGGCTATGAAAAGAAGATTTACTGTCCCTTGTAGAACTATGGCCAAACAGATCAAAGATGTACAAAATTCCTAAAAGAAAACATGGGGGACATTGTAACATTGTTCTTAACAATGATTCAACAAAAGCAAAAACAGACAAACAGGATAACCTCAGACTGCAAAGTATCTATATAGCAAAGGAGTCTATCCACAGACAAGGCAACTACAAAATGGGAGAAAACAACCGTAAACCACTAGGATCAGGGTTAATATCTGTACTACCTAAAGAACTCAATGCAGTGAAAAGGCAAACTGACTAGAATATGGGCAAAGGACTTGAGCACATCTATTCCAAGAAACACATGGAAAGGTGCTCAGCATCAACTATCAAGATACCATCTCAAAAGGGCTGGAGAAATGGCTCAGCGGTTAAGAGAACTGACTGCTCTTCCAGAGGACCCACATGGTAACCATCTGTAATGAGATCTGGTGCCCTCTTCTGGCATGCAAGTGTACATGCAAGCAGAACACTATACCTAATAAATAAGTAAATAAATAAATAAATCTTGAAAAAAAGGTAAATGAAGCTAGATGATGGTGGTGCAGGCCTTTAATCCCAGCACTTGGGAGGCAGAGGCAGGCAGATCTCTAGTTCAAGGCCAGCCTGATCTACAGAGTGAGTTCCAGGACAGCCAAGGTTACAGAGAGAAACCCTGTCTCTTAAAGAACAAGAAAACAAAACCATCACAAACAAAAACCAAAAGTAAAAGTAAACAAAGGGCTGGATATGACTCCCTCCCTCGCTAAGAGTGTTCACTGCTCCTGCAGAAGACCCGGGTTCGGGTCCCAGTACCCACATCTCAGTTCACAGTTATCTGCATATCCATTTCCAGGGCATCCAACACCCTCTTCTGACCTTTGCAAACACCAGGTACACATGTGGTGCACATAGACACATGCAAACAACACATCCACACACGTAAAATAAAAACAGTTTAAAAAGGCAATGGGGAACGACCCAAAGAATCACGATTAGGATCTGGAGAGGATAGCTGCCCTCCTATGGTCACAACAGCTGGATGAACTGGCAAGCAAAATGCAGCAAGTAACACAGTTAACTTATAAAGGAAGGTCTACATGGGAAGTTGGAGGCCTCCCTGGAGCATATAAAGTCCTGATTTTAAAAAAAAAAAAAAAAAGGGCTGGAGAGATGGCTCCGACATTAAGAGCACTGACTGTGCTTCTAGGGGTCCTGAGTTCAATTCCCAGCAACCACACGGTGGCTCACAACCACCTACAATGAGATCTGGTGCCCTCTTCTGGCCTGCAGGCATGTGATAAATCAATACATCTTAAAAAAAAAGAAAAGAAAAATCCTGACACACTGCAACATGTACGACCCTTGGCTTTATTCCCTATTAAAGAGGCCGGAGTCGTCTCTTCCATGGAGGAAAGCTAGCTGTATCAGGCTGTTTTACAAAAGCGGAGCTACTGAGTTCTCATCTCTCAAGTGATAGATAGCTCAGACAAACCTGGACACCCCCTGGGCGGGGCTTTGGCACCTCCCCTTGAGGGCGGGGCCTCGGCGCAAGGAGTCGCGTCGTGACGCACAGTGACGAGACACGCAGGC